ATGGGTGGGGTGAGGCCACCATGCAGTTTGCAGGATGTGAACTGCTTGGTTCAGGGGTCTGGACTTGATGCTGCGGGCACGGCAGTGCCTGTGCGGAAGGCGGGGGGGTGTGTGGTTGAAGAAGCCAGCCCCTGATGCCTGGGTACCCCTGGTCTCTCTCCTTCCAGCACTGGCCACCAAACAGACCTACGTCACCTACACCAACCATGCAATCTAGCTAGGCCACCAGAGCCGAACAAGAGGAGGAGGACCTGAGACCCTTGTGGCTGATGCGTCGGGCCAGGGCCACTCCCAGGGGCCCAGCTGATGTCCTGCCTGCCCGTGGGCGCCCACGGATGTGGCTTGGTGCTGAGGACAGCAGAGCCCCCGGCGGTCACTGCTGGGCAGCCTGGGCAAGCCGGGCAGGTGACAGGAGGAGAACAAGGGGCCGGGCCAGCTGCAGGCCACCCCAAGGGCCTGCATCTTGGACCACGGCCCCTCTCGGCCCCAAATGACAGGGGCTCAGGCTGCGTGGGCCCCGGAGCTGGTTTTCTCTCTCCCTTCGTCTCTGCTATCCCCTTGGTGACTGTCCCAGTCTCTTTCCGTCCCTGTCTTTATTTATCACTGCCTTTTCTGCGTCTTCACCTGTCTGAGTGATCTGCTTTTCCCCATCTTCTTTCTGCCTCCGCCCCCTCTCCCTGGTGCATCCTCCGTCTCCAGGTCGCTCCAGTTTTCTCTCTTGTGCTCCACCTGGGTCTCCTGTGCAGTTTTCTTTCCTGTCCCAGCCCCCTCCTCGCCTTCATTACACCCAGCCTTTGCTTTCTCCCTGCCACTGTCGCCCAGTTCACCAAATCTTACGTGTCGCAAAAGAGAAAAAAAGGAAAAAAAAATTCAAAACACAAAAAAAGCCAAAACAAAAACAAATCTTGAGTGTGTTGCAAAGTGCTGCGTCCTCCCGGTGGCCTGTGTGTGTGTCCCTGTGGCCCGCAGCCTGCCCGCCCGCCCCCGCCCGTCTACCGCGTGTCCTGCCCGCCTGCCCCCGCCTGCCCCTCCTGCCGATGACACGGAGTTCAGTGCCTGGGTGTTTGGTGATGGTTATTGATGACAATGTGTAGCGCATGATTGTTTTTATACCAAGAACATTTCTAATAAAAATAAACACATGGTTTTGCACCCTGCCTCCACATCCGCTGAGGGTCCTGCAGGGGGACCCCTGTCTCAACCTGCAGCAGGAGAGCCTGGAATTAGAGGCAAGGAGAAAGTGGGTGATGATGGAGACCTAGGGCTTCAGGGCAGTGGGGGCTGCCCCCGGGGTTGGTATGAAGTGGGAGCACGGAGAGGCCCTGGGCAGCGAGGGACCAGGACTTTGCAGCAGATTCCAGAAATCAGCCCCTGGGGGTCCCCTGAGGAAGGGGGATGTTCTATTCCTGTCCCCTGCCCTGCAGCCCCTAAGGTAGGTACCATTTCTGCCCTGTCTCTCCCCTGACTCACATTCCTCACACCTGGGACTCCGACCCCCACCCCATAACCGGAGCCTCTCCTTCTCTGTCCAGCCTGGAACCTCTCCTCTTGAAAGATTGGCTTCCAGGGCTCCCAGCACCCACAGCCCTCCCCTCCTGCCTGGCCTGTCTCCAGGTTGCAGGTGCTAGGATGATATGTGTCTGTCCTGGAGCCTGGAGTGTGGTGTGTGTCCGTGTGAGTCAGGGGCGCGACACAGGTATGTGTGTGGCTCCTCCAGCCCTGGGTGAGTGTCTGTTTTGGCTGCATGTGTGTGTGCTCCTGGCACCTCCATAGGCATGCTTGTCTGTGTAGTGTGTCTGCCTCGGCCCAAGTTGGGGGAGGGGGGAGACCACAGAGCACCCACCGTGAGGATGCCAGCCACTGGCCGGCAGCAAGTGTGCAAGTGGTGTTCACAGCTGCTGGCTTCCTTGGCGGGTTGGGAGGTGGGGAGCAGGAAGCAGTTTAGGGGTTGGGCCCTGCCAGGGGTGAATTACAGAGCCGGGGACACAATGAGACCACATGCAGCAGCTGCAGCCCAGGCTTCCCGGCCCCGCCCCCAGGCCGCTGTCCCCCTCCCTGGCCAGCGGGCGGGGTGGGAGCTAGGCTGGGACTGGGTGTGTGTGTGTGTGGGGGGGTGTATGTAGAGGTGGGGCTGGTAGTGCCCCCCTGGGAGAGGACGGGCATCACGCACACCTCTGCTCAGGAAATCTGGTCCCCTGGAGGGTCAGTGAGACTGTGCGCGTGTGGAAAGCACCTACTTTACACTCAGTATTTGTAAGGGAAGGGAGAGGGAAGGGTGTTTCTCACTCATTGTCTTGCTTTTGCAGGACGGTTCCTAAGGCTGCACCCCAGAATAGATTCTACCCAGTGCTCTAGCCTAATCAGGCAAAACTAGGTTGTCAGACCAGGAGTGTTTGCCAGAAGCTCCCAAGGAAGTGTGCGTGTGTGGTGTGCATGTGTGCGGGTATGTGTGCACGCGTGCATGTGTGTGTGCGTGTGCACGTGTGGTGGGGGTGGTTTGGATGGAGAAGGGGAGTGTGGCATCTCCAGTGTGGGCACCTTCTCTGGTCTGTTTCCCTCTCAAGGTGATTGCCATGCTAAGGCCCAAGGCTAGGAGGAGGGTTGGATGCTCAACCCAGGACTTTCCCAGCTGCCCTCCCCACATGTATGGAGCCCCTCTTCTAGGTTCCAGTGGGGAGAATCACCTTTCCAAGGCGGGTGCTGCCCCCTCTATTCCCCTCAGCACCCAGAGCCAGGGGAGGCTCTTGGTGAGCCTCAGACCCATCACGTATTCCTGAGGCTTGGCCTAGTCCAGTCTGCCTCGACTCTAAGAAGGGGCAGGTGGGAAGGAGACACCCAGGCCCTGCCCTCGGGGGTACCAGTCAGATGGAGGAGACATAGCTCCACCTTCAGGGACTGCCCTGTCTGAGGGGAGAAACACAGCCTCTCTCCCTCAGGGAGCTTCCAGTCTGACGGGAGAGATACCGCCCCCGGCATATTACTACAACCTAGAAATGCTGAGTATCCCAAAGCAACATCATTATGGGAATAGGGTGGGTTAAGTGGGGAAGTCTCGGGTGGGGTGTGAATTCTAAGCAGCTATGTCAGGTGAAGAGAGGAGAGGTGTGTAGGCTCCATGGGCATGAGGTAGAGAGGAGGCACCAGTCTCCCCAGGCCTTCTGGGAGTCAGACCGGCTGCAGCAGACTGGGAGGGCGGGTGCCACCCATCACCTCGAAGACACCGCCAGCGAAGCCTGGGCTGGGATCCCACAGGTGGGCCCGGGTGGGACCTGTTCTGATGCATGGGTGGGGAAGACCCAGGACTGCTCCCCTTTGCTCCCTATGCCATGCTATTAATTCCCTGGGCTCATGTGGGACACCCAGGAGAGTGGACAGATGAGGAGTACCTTCAGAGTTTTACACTTCAGTAAGATGGGGGGTGGGTTTGCAATGTTTCTGGTTCCCTGGAGAGAGGGCTAGTGGCCCCCGGAGACCTTGGCTCTGCAAGAGGGGTGATGGGGTCTCCCCAGGCTCCCAGGGAGAGGCCCAGAGGTGCTAGTAGTGGTGGTCCCCAGGGCTGCAGTCTCCTCCTCTGTGGGTGGGGCCGGTGAGAAGACATTTACCAGCTCCCCAGGTGTGGGCTAGGTAGCCCAGTGGGCCAGGTAAATCAGTGGTTTTCAAGCTGTCCCAGCACCAGAACCCTTTCTTTAAATCAGCATCAGCAGCGCTGGGAACTTGTTAGAAAAGCAAATTACGGGCCCCACCCCAGACCTGCTGAACGGGAAGCTCTGGGGGCCGGGTCCTGCGATCTGTTCTATAGGCCTTCCAGGTCCCTGCGAGGCAAGCCCAAGTCTGAGAACCACTGCTTAAAACTAACCGTGTGTGGGAAGGCCAACAGGTGTGGTTGCAATGTGTCTGTTGGGGGGGGGGCGTGTGGGAGGAGGTGGTGTTCAGGCCTAGGGTTATCAGGGACTGGGGTTTGGGGAAGGGTGGCAGAGTTCCTGGGATGCCAGACCTTCAGTGCTAAAACCAAGAAAGTCCTGGAAAAACTAGAAAAATTGGCCACCCCGTCAGACCCTGTTCTTAACCATCCATCCAACAGGTATTAAGTACCTACTACGGGCCAGGCTCCAGATGTGCAGTAATGAACAAGACGGATGTGGTGCTGCACCTTGGGGTTTCTGCAGCCAAGAGGGAACAACACCCACTCAAGAGCTTTTGGGGCCGAAAGCCAAGACTGGGTTGCTACCAGCCCTGGGCAGGAGGCCACGAAGCTACCAAGCCAGCAGGGCACACAGGCCACCTCTGTGGAACGCCGAGGTCCCTGGGGACTCAGCTTGAGAGGCAGATTACAAGTTTGAGTCTCTTCCAGCCTCAGCTGGGGAGTTCCAATGTCTCAACGTCTGCTTTTCTATACTGCCTTCTCAGGCCCCGGAGGAAGAGGCAAAGGGGACCAGAAAGTGGCCTGTTAGCACCATGCCAGTTTCCCTCCGCACCATCTCAGCCTCCAGGTCCAGGGAGGGGCCCTTGGGAGCCCACAGAAAGATGCCGAGCTTCCAGAAGGCTGTGCAGCTCCTCTCTGGTCAGAGGACAGGCCGTGGGCCCTTTCCTTCAGATGCTCTCACTGAGGCCTGCAGCTTCCTCCTCCCAGCCTGGGGTTTCCAGCTCCCCAACTCAACATCTAGGGGAGCTGGGGCGCTCTCCCTGGCATCTAGAGCTTCTCTCTGCCCCCACCACCTGCCCTGCACGGCTCTGGGTGCCCAGCCAGGCTTGGCCCTGGCACTCTGAGCTTCCCAGGGCTCGGACCTCCCGGCAGACAGCCTGGCACTGAATGGCACATGGTGCCCAAATCTCACTTCGGTTGGCAAAAGCAGCAATTAGCATTTAATGAGGCTTCTTGCTTTATTTTTAGGTAACCTCCAAGGCCCTGCCTGTGTAATTCAGCCCGCCATTGCTCGGCAGATAATTAAAGCATGTCACCATAATTTGCCTTTTTTTTTTTTTTTATATAAAGCCCGTAATTATGTTTTTATTGCGAGTGTGGTGGGGGGGAAGAGGAGGGAAAGAAAACAAAGAGGTGGAACTGGGGCAGGAAATGGGGCTTGGCTCCCTCCGCCAGGCTCCTCTACCCCATTGGCAGAACCAGGACCCCCATTCTGGGTGCAGCAGCCCCTTGGCCTCCTCGGCTTCAGGGTCCATCTGGGGGACTGCCTGTCCAAGACTGCCTCCTTGTTGGCTCGCCTCGCGGGCACTTCTGCAGTCCTCCTCTTCCAGGTTTGGTGGGGAGGGCCTTCCTGTTCTTCCCCTTTCCGTATAAAAGCAGCCTCAGTTCCCTTCAGAGCATCCCAGTGGGCAGGAAGAGGGTGGGGCTAAAACCAGAGACGGCCTCGAGTTGGTTTCCTGAGCTGCACACAGGCACCTGGGAGTGCTTTATGCTACCCTCCTGTTACATGTTTGAAGATTTCCACAGGAAGTGAAATAAAACTCCCCTCCCAAGAAGGGATCTGCTAACAGAGCTTGGCATCTGGAATCTGCTCTTGGGGGCACTTGTGACTTGCTGTTCTTTCTCACTCTGAGCTGAAGGGCTGTCTTTCTGCACCGGGAACTACCCTGTGGTCAGTATTTTGATGTTGGCGAGTGGTGGCAGGCCATCCTTCCGGGGCCTCCGAAATCCGACTCTCAGCCTGCAGGCCACACTAGGAATGGGAAGGGCAGCCGCCCACATCAGGGAGCCCACTGCCCCCAAGCATCTTCCCAACTGATACCTATGCCTCTACCGGTGAAACCTCAGGCTCATGGGCCAAGGTGTGTTTGCCCAAAACACATCAATTGGTTGGCAATCTTATTGGAATCAGCTATCAAGACACCAGCTGCCCTGGGGTGTGGAACAGGGGACAGGTAAGTTGTGAAAGAACATGCAGATTACCTTAACTCAAGTAGCAAGTTGTCCCTCCACCACTTCCTGAACACCACATCAACCCAACATCACATTACGTTTGTGTGGTTTGTTCATCTTCTTCATCCTCCCGCAAGACTGTCGGCCCTGCTAGGGCAGGGATTTTTGTCAGTTTGATCACAGCTGAACCCCCAGGGCCTAGAACAGTACCTGACACCCTGTAGGCATATAATAAATATTTGTGGAATGAAGAAGTTGGGCAGGAGGGGCTGGGCTGGAGACCCAGGGGGACCTACTTAGTTGTAACCCTACCTCCACAATCCCCAGTGCTTGCTTCTATCTCTGAGTCTCCACCCAAAGTCCAGTGGTCATTTCTTCATTGTAGCTGCCCAAGGTCTTTCCCCCAGAGGCATGAGGTAAGCGTGGATGTAGCATGCTGGTGACCACCAGGGTAGGGAGCTGACCACCCCCAACCCCCCCCCCGAGGGTGACCGGCACCCTTGGAGTTGGAATGGGGCGACCCGGATTCTGGGTAAGGTTCTGCTGCTAACTCACAGGGCACCCTTGAGCAAGCTGCCTTCCCCTCTCTGGGCCTCAGTTTCTTCATCCATAAAATAAGGGCTTAAGCTCTGAGCCCTTCGAGCCTGGGTAGGGAGCCAGCATTCCAGCAGTACAGGAAAGGGAGGTGACTGCCAAGAAGAGTCTTTTGGGGCATGTTGCTATGGCAACTGTGCACACACCACGGGGTGGGGGAGGGGCTTGCTACGCAAATCAGGCCCTTGCTTTGGCATCCCCAGTCTCGGTTGTCCCCGTGTGATGGGAGGAGGCCTTGTTAAGATGGCGGGGCAGGGAAGGAGGATGGCGAAGCGGTGGGCCTGCCGGCCCTGCACTCTACCGTAGTGTGTTGTCTGGGCTTACCTGGGAAACAGCAGCAGCAGAGGAAACTGGGGCCCAGAGGGTCAAGAAGTTCATCAGGATCTGAGAGGCCCCGGACAGACCCTCCCCACCGACCTCCTGGTCAACCTAGGACATTAGGGAGGCACGGTTTTCAGAGGGCCGCGGTAAACCTCTCGCTGGGAAACACGGTCCCTCCTGCGGGTGCTCTTGGGAAAGCAGGGAGCAGAGCTGGGAGGGAAGAACCCCTGCTTTGGTCTCTGCCAGGTCCCTGTGACTCGGGCGCCTGAGACAACTCAGTCCTCCGACCCTGGGACTCTGCATCTGCGAAATGGAGGTGTAAGTATCTACTGAAGAGGATCTCAAGCCTCCAAAAGGACACACAGCAGGTCAGGACGGGCCTCGTGCCTGCCCCGGAGCCTTGGCTGCCTTACCCTCCAAGACCCTGCTCACCCTCCTCTGTGGTTTAGGGCTTTTCTTCCCCCCACTCCTCAAATGCTGGGGCTCCCTCTGGGGCTCCAGGCCCCTGTCCACGCATTCCTCTCTTCTACGTCAAAAGTTCCATGATCTCTCCCATCTAACCTCGCCACCTCAGCGCTTCCCCAATACTCTGCAACCTCCCTCTACATTTCCCAGCCTCCCTTGCAGTTGGGCCGAGGTCACGTGACAGTTCTGACCAATGAGCTGTGGGGGCGACCACGCCCATCCCTTCTGGGAGGGGCGCAGGCGCAGGTGTTCCTGGGCCAGGCATCTCTTTTGCTGTGGCAGTCGCGGACGTTGCGGTTTGAGATGGTGGCATATAAGATGGAGGGCACCTGGGTCTCAATCACTGGTCAGAGCATATCCTCTGTCAACCCACTGTGAACTTCGTATGAATAAGAAATAAGCTTTTTTTGTTAAAATGCTGAGATTTCAGGATTTATTTGTTTCTAAGTTCTAGCTTTTCCTGTTCTGACTAATGTATCATCAGGCAACTGCCAAAATTATATTTTTCTCTCAGCCACCAAACCTCCTTCTGTGCACCCTACTAGTCACTCAGAATCATCCATAGAGGAAGCCATAGCCTCTCCTAAATGTGTTCCTCTCCCACGTTCCCCATTTTGGTGATCCAGCAGCCTCCTGGGCCAAAAACGCCGCCCCTTGCGCTGCACCCCACTTCGCACCTTGGGTCGGTGGCTAAGTCTCCACCGTTCTCCCTGCCGTCTCTGGACTTCATGCCCTCACCGCCTGTCTCCCTGGACGGTGGGACAGCCCCCCGCGGCTCCCCCAGCTTCCAGCCTTCATCTCGGTTCCGTAAACATGTGGTTCCCTGCCTTCTGGCTTGTGGCTTTCCTGGGAGAAATCTGCCTTTATCCTGATCTTTGTCCTTTCGTATACAGTGTCTCTTTCCTCTGGCTGCTTTTAAAGATTTTTCTCTTTACCACTGTTTTAAGCAATTTGATTATGATGTGCCTCGGTATGGCATTTCTTCGTGTTTCTCGTGCTTGGGTTTTGAGGAGCTTCTGGGATCTGTGGGTTTTTACGGTTTTCATATTTGGGAAGTTTTTGGCCATTATTTCTTCGAAACTTTCCATCCTGTCTATCTTCTCTCCTTCGGGGACTTCTATACACATGTATTAGGTCTCGAAGTTGTCCAGTGACGCTCTATTCTTTCATTTTGTAGACTTTTTATTACTATGTCTTCAAGTTCACTAACTTTTTTCCTGGGGTATCCAGCTGCTGTTAATTGTTTCTAGTGCATTTTTCATCTCAGTACGCAGCTTTCATCTCTAGAGGTTTGAGTGGGTCTTTTTCATACCTTACATGTTTCTAGTTAAATGTTCATTTTCCTCTGGCTTCCTGAACATGTGGAATACAGTTACAATAACTGAATATCCTTGTCTACTGATGCCATGTCATTTCTGGGTTGGTTTCAATTGATTGATTGATCTTCTCATTATGAGCTGCATATTCATCCTTCTTTGTGTACCTGATAATTTTTTTTTAAGATTTATTTATTTGTTTTAGAGAGAAAGGGAGAGCAAGAGAGTGAGCGTGGGGAGGGGCAGAGGGACAGGGAGAGAGAGGATCTTCAAGCAGACTTCCTCCCGAGTGCAGAGCTCAATCCCAGGACCCTGAGATTAGGACGTGAGCCGAAATCAAGACTTGGACGCTTAACCAACTGAGCCACCCAGGAATTCCATACTGGATGCCAGATAATGTGAATTTTATCTCATAAGGTGCTGCTTATTTTTGTATACACATAAATATTCTTGAACTTTTCCGGAATGTGGTTAAGTTACTTGGAAACAGTTCGATCCTTTTAGGTCTTGCTTTCAAGCTTTGTTAGGGAGGGCCGGAGCGGCATTTCGTCAGGCCTCGTTCTGCCCCACTATGAAGCAAAACCTCTAGGCTTCCTGCTCTGGCTGGTGGGGCATGCGTAATCCCAGGGATCGTTCCCTCTAAACAGCTTCAGCCTGCTTCCTGCTGGAACATGATTGTTCTCCAGCTGAGCTCTGGAGGGAGGACTCTTTGGGATTCTCTCTATGTAGCTGTCTCCTCTCTGACCTCTGACCTGTGAACTCTACCCACCTTAGCCTCTCTGTCTACCCAAATGCAGGAAACTCCAGGCTCTGCCTGGGTCTCCTCTCCTCCGGCCAGAGCCTGGAAGCTCTCTCTGGGCATATGGGGGACAATTGCAGGGCTCACCTCATTGTTCTCATGTCTCAGGGACCACTGTCATTTGTTGCTTGATGACCAATGTTTGAGAACCAGGGTTTCGTGTGTTTCGTGCATTTTGTTGCTGTTTCAGACAGGAAGGTAAATCTGGGCCCTGCTACTTCAACTTGGTTGGAAGTGGAAGGATCCTCTTGTCTTTCTAAGATGCAGATAGGCCCAGGCTATTCCCTGCTCATTTTTATCAGAGGTTCCTCAGTGATGTTGGCCTAACAACAAGAAGGGCTAACTCAGTGCCAGGTACTACTCTAAGTCCAACACGCATCGGATCGTTTCATCTTTGCAAAGACTGTGTGAGGGGAGTACTGGTTTCGTTGTCTGCTTTATAGATGGAGACACTGACTCTCAGAGAGGTTAAATAACTTGCTCGGGCGCACACAGCCAGGAGGTGGTGGAGCTGGGATTTGAACCCAGGCGGTCCAGCTCTGGTGCTCGCCCTTAGCCTCCAATCTGCATTGCTTCTCTAAAACCCACCAACTGGCTTCTGCCCGCCGTTCCTTTCTCCCTACTGTTGTTTCTCGAGCACTGCCACGTGCCCAGGTTCGCTGCTAATTACTGGAGATGTGGAGCAACGAGTTGGATGAAATAATTCTGAACCAAAGGGGAAGTGGAGGGTAGGTCCGTGCACCCGGAGCTCAGGGGCTCTGACTCCATTTCCTGAAGGAGTAGCACCTGAGCCAGTCCCAGAAGGATGAGAGGTCTGTAAGCTGGAAAGAGGAAAGACTATTTCAAGGATGAGCAAAGGGACAGAGGTGATAAATAACATGATATTTGGGAGGAGGAGCCAAGTGGGGCATTGAGAAGATGGGGATGAGCACTGTAGGGGTGAGAGATGAACCTGGAGAGGTGGGCAAGGGTGAGGGGAGGAGGGCCTTGTAGGGTCTACCAAGTGGCCTGGACTTTCTTCCAAGGAGGGAGTGACCTGGTCAGAACTGCAAAGTGGGATGGGCATTCTAAGGATGATAGTTTGGAAGGGCCTGGCCTGGAGGCTGGGAGACCTGTGGAGGCCACTGCCTTGAGCCTGCTGAGAAGTGAGGACCTGGAGAAAAGTGAGGAGCTCGAGGGGAGAAACTTGGTTGGATGCAGAGGGTAGCTGAGGGGAAAGAGTTGGGGCTGAGGCTGGATTGGATGACTGTATGGTGGAGCTGCTGGAACGGAAGAGTGATAACTTGTGTTTCTCGGTTATGTCTCTATAAGGAGTGGGCATGCACTCCACCCAACACTTTCCCCTTCCCTCTGAATGGGATGCAGATGTGATGGCAGGAGCTGGAGCAGCCACCTTGGACTCAGAGATCGGAGCCAAGCTTAAGGGGGCAGAGCCACATTACAGCCTAGGGGCCAGCTCTGGACCATCTGTGTGGGAGAACTCAACTTCTGTCTTCAAGCCATTATATTTTACAGCCTCTGTAACAGCACCTTAGTATGTTCTTAAACTAATGTACCTATATGTCGCTGATTCTCCATCATGCTGCTTTGACTTTCCTACCCTTGTCTTAACTGTTGCCTATGTTGGTCCCTGTACCAGGGATGCCATTCCTTCTGCCACCTCCACCTGCACTTGCTTGGACAATGGTCACCATCAAGTCAAGATTTTACCTTGGTATTTCTTCCTCTGGGACAAGACTTGCTGTGCCTCCACTCCACTCCACTCCACTCCACTTTCTTATGTTTCCTTGACCACTTCTGTATCCAAGACCACAAGCTTCGTAGGGGCCGGCCATGTCTTATTCCTCTTTGTGTGGCCAGTGCCCCCTTCTAGTGGGGACTCAATCAATACATGGTGGTTGAATGATTCTGAGAAGTGGGAGTGGACAGTGCATCACGGGGCTGTTAGGAGAATTCAGTGAGCCCACTGGGACAGTCAGGTGGACTAGATTATGCTGTGTAACAAACGACTACAAATTCTCAGGGACTTAAAAGCACAAAGATTCTGTGCCTTGCTTGCAGGTCAAGGGGAGAGGGCTCTGCTCCTATCATAGTGACTCAGGGACTGCAGATGCTGGAGGCTCGTCCATCATCTCCACACACGCTTTCTTAGCAGGAGAAGATCATGTGCAAAATTTGCATAACAGCTCTTAAATGTTTCCACCTGAAAATGAAGCAATCCTTTCTGCTCATATTGCATTGGTCAGAGCAGATTCTATAACCCCATATAACTCCAAAGGGACAAGGATTTGTAATCCCCTGTGTCTGTTAGGAGAAGAGAACTGGACATGTTGGTTAGCAGTGGTGATGTCTGCCACAGTCGGTTATGTAAAAGGTCTGGTACAATATTGAGAATGCAGTGCAGTGATCAACCAGGGCTTGGTTTTGCTCCCTAGTCATTCATCATTCAACATGTATTTCACCATACACTGTGGTGAAAGAGAGGTAATGTTCCTTGTCTCATGGAGCTTATGGTCAAGTGTGGGAAGAAGGGCAGACATTTCTCAAATCATCACACTCATATATAAGTAATTACAGTTAGTAATAAGTGCTCTGAAAGCAAAGAACAGGGTCCTATGAAAGAGAATAATGGTGTGTGTGTGTGTGTGTGTGTGTGTGTGTGTGTCTGTCTGTCTGTCTGTCTGTCTATATTAGGATGGAGATTGAAGAAAGTGAGGCTAGAGAGGCCCAGGACCTGGTACCATGCAGTCAGAAGGCTTCTGGAAAGCCTTTAACCAGGATGGGGCCTGACATGCACTTTTAATGACTTCTGAACTGTTTGTACATCCAGGGCTCAGGCCACAGCCTCCTTAGCTTCTCCAACTGTTTTCCTCCCAGGGGCTCTCATCAGGTCCTGTGACTTTGACTCCCAGATGTGCATCTTTAGCTCTGTTCTTGCATGTGAACTCGACCCCTGTGGTCCCCTGCCTGCTCCTCAGCTCTGCCAGTATAAGGGAGGGAAAAGTTTTCCTCCACTCTCTTAGGGTCCCTGGCTGGGTCTGAAAATTAAAACAAAGACATATTAACAGGAGAAAAGCATACAAATTTACTTAATGTAAGTTTTACATGATACAGGAGACTTCATAAGGAAATGAAGACCCTGGGCGCCTGGGTGGCTCAGTCGGTTAAGCATCTGCCTTCATCTCAGATCATGATCTCAGGGTCCTGGGATCGAACCCCGCATTGGGCTCCCTGCTTAGTGGGGAGTCTGCTTCTCCCTCTCCCTCTGTGCTCTCCCTCCCTCCCTCCCTCTCTCTCAAATAAATAAATGAAATCTTAAAAAAGGAAAGGAAGACCCAAAGAGACAGTTAGACCTGAGTATTTTTCTGCTAGGTTTAATGAAGAGTAGACAGTCCTGTAGAAATAGGATGGGTTAGAGAGTGCGAGGGAAGCGCAGCAAACCACAGGAATGTAATAGGCTTGTTTGTTGGGATTCTTCTCATCATTGCTTTGTCTTCAGAGATAAGGAAGCTCCTTTCCTCCAGGTGTAGGGAAGGTACCTCTCACCTGAGGGTTTTATGACCTGTTTCACAGGAGAGAGTTGTTCTCTCAAAAACATTCAGTGTAAAACATTCAGTATGCATGATGCCGTGTTCTGGGGTAGTGTGTCCTGAACCCCATTACCAGGTACCTCCACCTTAGCATGTGCAGGTCCAGACTTTTGAGCACCCATCAACCTGTTCCTCCCTCCTCTCCCCTCTCGATAAAAGACCCCACCATCCTCATGGTCAGAAGCCTTGGGCTCAGTCTTGACCCCTAATCCCCACCCTTCATCTAATATGTCAGCAAATCCTGTTGGCTCGCCTGTAGGATGTCTCAGAATCCAACTGCTTCTCATCGGGTGCAAACCTCCATGATCCTTGGCCTGGGTCATTCAGACGTCCTCCTAAATGGCCCTCAGCTTCAGCTCTTACCCCCTAACTCTGTTCCACAAGCTGCGGCCAAAGGGGTGTTGGGAAAATATAAATCATATTCTTTCCCACTCCTGCTTAGAAACCTCCAGGTTTCCCCCTTGGACCTCTGGCCAAGTCTGGGAGACTCAGGAAGTGGGCCCTAGGTGCTTCTCCTGCCTCATTTCCCTCCTTCCTTCCTTCCTCTCTCCCTCCCTTCCCTCCCCTTTTTCACTCTTCCCAGTGTTTCAGGTACTGCTCTTTCACCATGGAACCTTCTTCCACCTAATTCCGGTGAGCTTCACTGAACTAAGTTGTCTTCAGAAAGAAGTGTTTCCAGATTGGCCCTCAACAGCACATCCATCACTGCTGGTCACCCCACTTCATTTTTCCTCCTGGACCTTGTCACTCCCTGGCATCACATATATACTGATTTTCTCTCTTCCCTGGCGGGGGAGGGGGCAAAAGCGCTGAGTGGGCAGGGACTCTACTTTGTTTTCTAAGAAACTTCTAATGCCCAAAAGAGTGCCTAACCATGGAAGATGTTCTGGAAATATCTGTTGAATGACTGAATGGCGGGAATGACCTTGGAATTCCAGGCACTGCTGGGGCAACAAAGACCTTGTTTTGTTTCAGGAAGAGGCTGGTTGCGTGCAGTTTGGGTTTTTGGAGGTGGAGAACTAACGGCTTCGGAACAGGCTTCATTTGCTTTCTCTTCATCCCAGACTGGGCCCTGTGGTTACAAACAAGCGAGAGCCCACCCCTATTTGTTCTCGGAGGAAACTATAAAGTCACCACAAATTGGAGTGCGGATGTTGCAGTTTACGAGGTTAAGTGCACTAAGCTGTGTAAATTGGGAGTGTTTCTAGCCTGGCTGTGCCCTCAAAGCATTAGAGAGCCATTTTCCCTAAATGTGTGTTTGGGGAACTCAGCTAAACTGTGGCTTTCGCAACACAGTGTCACGTTGAAGTTGAATAATCCAGACTATGGGAAATCTATGTGCAGTTACTATGGCTGCCTTGTCTGGGCCCAGAAACCAGGCCCCATCCATCCATCCGTCCATCCGTCCATCCATCCATTTGACAAGTCCATACTGAGCGCCTCCTGTGGGCCAGACACCAGAGTGGATAAGGCCAACACAGACTCCAAGAACAGGATGAATATTCCTGCTGTGGGGACTGCTTGGGCCTGGGGCTGGGAGGAGCAAAGGGCACTCTCTGTGGGTCACGGAGGCTGTGGGTCAGGGAAGTGAAGAGACCTGGAGATCTGGGGAATGGGGAGGTCATAGGAATCAGGCCTCAGCCTTATGGAATCAGGCAGGGGCCACGAGGGTAGGATTTAGGGGTTTGTGAGCCCCAAGAGTCACTGCTGCTGGAGGGCATGTCACACCTTCTCAGGACTCTCTTGATGGTCTCCCAAGCCTTCAGTAACATTCTTGGGGCTTCCAGGTACACACAGGTGCAGGGAGAGGGGGAGAAATAGAGAAGGTGGTTACCAGACAACGAGAGGTGAGCTGGAGCAGCAAATGTTAGAGAGGTGGATGCAGACAGGGTGACAAGTGGATATACAGGACACCCAGAAATACTCCCTAAAACAGACAACTATCCTTTCAAATGAATGAATGAATGGAAAAGCTTTAGAGTGTCAAACATAAAGAGGGTCCTGGAAGCCTGGGTGTTAGGGAGCTCCAAAGCTGCAGGGAGTCCTCAGGTCATTTGCACATATATCTTCATGATCTAGATCAGAGTTTCTCAATAGCAGCACTGTTGACATTTTGGGCAGAATTATTTTTTTGCTGGGACGGGACCTGTCCTGTGCATTGTAGGATGTTTGGCAGCAACCTTGGCCTCTACCCAAGAGATATCAATAGCAACTCTCTCCTCTAGTGGTGACAACCAGAAATGTCTCCTGAGGGAACAAAGTTGTCCAGGTCCAGAAATAAAGGTCTAGAAGAAGAAGGAAACAAGCTGTGGGCTCTCATGGTGAGGAGTTGTAACTGAGACCTCTGTGAAAAACCAGGGCTTTCAAAGGCTGCACTTTGGGTGAAAGGATAGAGAAGAAAAAGTCCATCCAGTGGCAAAGAGAAATGGTAAGAATAATTGTCTATTTCAGCATGTGCTCCAGGTAGAAAGAAAAGCCTTTACATTTGTAACAATATGCCCCCACACACAGGGGTTTAGGGTAAACATTTGCATTACCTATGTGTTCCAGGAAACTCCCAAGTGGTGAAATTAACCCCAAGTATGTTGGTAGTACCTGAGGCACCTGGCAGAAGCAAAAGTTAATTCTCCCTGGAGAGATACACCCTTGACTCCTGCTGTAAGTGTTCTCAGGGATAGAGCTCAACCAAGCTTGAGTTTACAATACAAAATTACAAAGCACATGAGGAATCTCATGAGTGAGTCGGTGAAAACAACAAATGGTAGAATTAGCCTTCAAAACTTAAGATATCTAGATGATCAGATCCGGGATATTAAAAAAAATTGCTTGTTTAAAATGTTTAGAGAAATAAAGATGCTACCAGGAAAACCAGGCAAATATGACAATGAACAAAGACTCAGAAATGAAAGTGGTAATGTTGAAATTTAAACCCAATGTTTGGTTAAACAACAAATTAGATACCGTTGAAGAGATAGTTAGTGAACTGGAAAATAGATTTGAAGAAATAATTGGCCATAACGCAGCACACAGAGAATACGAACAAGTGGGAAAAAGACATGGGATATAGAATGAGGAGTTTAACAAATATCATCTAGGAATTCCTGCAGAGATAGCTGAGAGAACTGGGGGAGGCAATTTTAACAATATGTTGATGAGAGATTTTTCCAGAAATGATAAAAAAAAAAAAAAAGACAAATGCTGGGAAGGAAGCATTAAGAATTCAAGCAGAGTAAATAAGGAGAAACCCAGACTTAGAAACATTGTGATGAAACTGCAGAACTCCAAAGAGAAGACCTTAAAAGCATCCAAACAGGAAAAGTCAGATCACAAATGGCCCAGGATGGAATGGAAGAGCATGAACACTTGGCCTTGGGAAGCCGGGCAATCACCTGGGGAAGGGTACCTCATGAGGAATGCCCAACTGCTGCCTGCATGAGGGGTGGGGCCTCAGACTGTGACGGTTCAAATATTAAAAGACATATAATCTCAGTATCCCCTTAGCCAGGGCCTGGTGCTTGCACAGCCCAGGGTGTGGGTGTGTGGGGGGCTCACTCAGTCACCTCTGCGCAGAGGCCTGGCCCACAGGCTGCAGGAGGTTATTTCTGCCAGGAGAAGGGGGAGGGCCACCTTTGGACACAGCCCAGAGAGGGCAGTGAACAGGAGTATGAGTTGGGGGTATCTGGAATGGCTCTGGGAATTGACTGCCCCTCCTCCAGGCCTATTTGGGGTCAATACCCTCAAGAGACTCTGGAGGACATCAGAGACGGGGTGCTTGAGGGGGGGTGTTGTTCATCTTTCCAATCCACAAAGGTGGTGGAGGAAGGATAAGAATGGTGGGTTGGGGGAGAGGTGGTGGTGGAGTGTGCTCGGGAAGCTAGGGGTGAGGGGGGAGCAGGAGAGAGGCTCAGAAGGTTGAGGGGAAACTCAGGAACTGCCTCTATTTCTGGATAAATGCAGCGTCTTCTGCCCTTCCACACACACACACACACCCTTCTCTATTCTTGCTATGAATTTCTCACCAAACAAGCTTCATTAATCGTCTAATAACCAGATTAATTAAGGACGTTGAAAGTAAACAGCAAGAAGGTTATTTGCTTCTGATTGCTGTGTAATTGTAGGAGGATGAACTCATTTGCATATGCAAAGAAGGCTCCCTACACAGCGAATAACAATAGAGAGAAGTAATTGTGTCTCTGACCTGCACCCTCCATCTCTCCCTGCCGCTTCCTGCCTCCTCCAGCCCCCTCCTAAGCCTCTCTAGAAAGCTGATTGAAAGGCCCGCAGCCCCGCCAATCAGGACCCCTGTCCCCAGGCCCGCTGGCCCAGGCCGGCTCCTGCTGCTCCTTTCGCTCGCAGAGAGGCGCGTCTCACAAAACAGGGATAGGGGAGTCTAGTTTTGGCCCTACCCGAGTGATCTAGGCAACATGCTTCCCCAACCCAGATTTCCCTAACTTCAAAATGGGCTCGCACACCCGCACTCCGCAGTCCTCAAGACAATTCCACTAAAAGCAAGTGAGGGAGCGTTTTATAAATTGTAGAGCGCTCAGTCAAAGCTTGCTGGGCATTATTTTTTACCTGACCCCGGGATGGGTTGAGTGTGTGTCTTCAAAGGCCCCTTAGAATCCTGCCTCATCCAGGAAGCCTTCCTGGATTGTGCCCTTCCCGGGGACTGGCTTTCCTCTGGGGCGGCAATTTGCTAGTTTCTGTAGACGCGCTGGCTCAAGGCTCGCGCTAAATCCCCAGTACCCTGGGGCCTGGAGGCGGGTAAGGGCCCCCAGAGTACCCCCTTCCCCCATCGAGGCTAAACTCAGGCTTGGGGGTACCCCATGCTGTGGCGCTTCTTGTCGCCCAGAGCCTCAGACGCCAAATTGTCTTCTGATGGCGGCCTCCGTCTCTCCTGAACTCAATTTGCGTTTGCAAAGCAGCTAATAGAGGCATTAAAAAATCCATTTTCACTCGGGATTGAATCTGACTGGAGCAAGATCAATGCTCAGAGGCCTCCCTCCTTCTCCCCCCACCCCGCCCCCGCATCGCCATGGAGACCGCGGTAGCAGCCGCACCCACCTCGGCTCCAGCCAGCCCCTCTGCTCCCCCACATCCTTCCGGCGCCCCGACCCCACCCCCGCTGTCCTGGCTCCTCCACACTCGCGCGGGTTAGCTCACCTGCACCCACCACGCAACCTCTTCCAAGTGTGCGTGTGTGTGTGTCTGTGTGTGTGTCTGCAGGAGGTTGCTGGTTCATCGATTGAACTGCACCCCAAAACTTGATTTCAACCCACCACCACCTGCTCAGCCAGCTGCGATAATTGCCTAGCTCTAGGAACCCGGCAGCTTTGCCTCTGAGCTGCTGCATCCATCATGTGCTGGGTTCACATTCCCTTGCCCCCTCTGGCTCCGAGACCTTGGGGCAGATCACTTCCCCCTCTGGTCCTCATTCATTTCCTCCTCTGTAAGAGCAATACTGATTCCTTCCGTGCAAGATTGGGGTGAGGGTGTGGAGGAGGAGGAACCATGCTTCTGATGGCAGACAAATATATTTTCAACCCTGAGCTGCTTTGGGGAGACACACTGTGCCTGTTTACATGCTTGGTGGGAGACAACCCCGCAGCAGCATCGGGGAGCCCTTACACTGCGATCTATCTAGGGCTGGAGCTCTTTCTGCAGTAGACTGTGGCGCGCTGCCAGCCTGACAATGGCGTGCCCTTTAATATGCGTGGAATTCTCAGTGATGAAAGAGGGACCCCACATTCTACCGTGGTGGATATTGGAGAACATGCTAGCTTGGCTGCTTGGGTCTGAATCCTGTCTTCCCCACTTACTGCTGTGTGGGCTTCGGAATGTTCACATCTCTGTGCCTCCCTTAGCTCATCTGGGAACGGAAGAGAATCATTGTACTGACCCCATAGCGCTGTTGTAGGGAGTAACCCAACCAACTATAGGAAATTTTAGAACAGGGGTGACATACACTAAGTCTTCAAGGAGTGTCAGCTTGGATTCTTCAAACCTTAGACCATGGGTTTTATGGGAGAGAGAGGCCCTGGCCCCAGCCCTGTCCCTCCTTTTCTCTCTGTCCTCTGAGAGCTGCCCCAGCCCCAGATCAACGGGCCTCCTGCAAAAGTCTTTGGTGGTTTCCTTCCGTGTTTAGTCTTTGGGGATTAGCACACCAGCGTGGGCATGGAGGTCAGCTCTTTGTTACCAGTCCATGGCCACTCCCCGGCCTCTGGCCTCCCTGATCCTCAGCTCCTGTGTTCCCTCATTTCCGCCCGCAAGCCCTCTCGCTACCTCTGATGCCTCTTGCCACTGCTCTGGTCTCCAGAGAGACCCTTAGTGGACAAGTGGGATTGGGAGGCAGGATGATGGGGCTGGCCTGGGTTTTGGACAAAATAGATTCTGGAACTGGAGGGATGTGGGGTGTTCCGATCAGCGCTCCTGGTGACAGCAGCTCCTCATTAGCAAGCACCATTGATTTTGCGTGGCTCAGCCTGGCATGGCAACAGCCCGGTTTCCCTTTTGGAAAAAAATGCCTTTGAAGGCTCAGGAAGGTTTTCCGGTCTCACGGCCTCCCCAGGCTGGCCAGAGCTCCCTCAGGCTTTCACCTCAGTGAGTGGGTCCTCCAGGCCTTGTCTTAACAGAAAGATCGTCCCTTTTAAACACACACACGCACGCACGCACGCACGCACGCGCGCCCAGCCCCTCTCACCAAAAGCTGGGTGAGTCTCCCCTGTGCCCTAGTTGCCTCCTCTCCAGCCCACTTCTTCCCTCTGGTGCCCATCATGGGACCAGGCTGTCTGGGGTGGGGTGGGGGGACAAAGCTGTTGAGATGGGCAGGGGAGCCTCAGGCTCTCAGTGGTTTCCAGCGGAGGAGCGGGGAGTTGCTGGCCTGTGTGAAATAGATATTTAAACACTCAGTGGTTCTAATGAATTTGAGGTCCTGGCTCTGAGGCCTGGCTCCACTCTTGAGTCAGCTAGTTCACTTCTCTGGGTCTTAGTTTTTCTACCAGTAAAGTGGAGATGCGAATAATAACATTAGTAATAATGATCACTGCCAGGCGCCTGGGTGGCTCAGTCTGTTAAGCGTCTGCCTTCGGCTCAGGTCATGATTCCAGGGTCCTGGGATTGAGTCGCACATGGGGCTCCCTGCTCAGCAGGGAGTCTGCTTCTCTGCCCCTCCCCTGGCTTGTGTGCATTCTCTCTCTCTCTCAAATAAATAAATAAAACCTTAAAAAAAAGATCAATGCCTTGAAGGGTCATTACAAGGACCAAACGAGGTCCAGGAAACTCTTGTAAACTGGTTAGGTCTTCCCTCCTGGCTTGGGAGGGCAGAACTGGGTACCCCTCTCTTGTATGTCTGCAGAGCCCAGCCAACACCAAGTGTTGAACAAATGTGGGTGGATTTGAAAAATCAGAGACTCCAGGAAACCCAGGCCTGAACTCATGTGGGAGATGAAGAGAGGCCAAGATTTTCACCCAGAGGAAGCGGGGGGTGGAGAGGGAATTGGTGCAAGAGAGCATTAAAAAATCATGGCTTTCATACAAATAATAAACACATATGAAAGACTTAGTGGAAACCAGTAAGATGTTACAACCGGTTCAAAGGAGAATCCAAGGATCCATATACAGGACACCGGGAAGTGAATAGATGAGAACCTGGTCAATAGCCATGGGTCAATAATCATCTGCACCCCTACCACACAAAAGTCATCTGCATTTCTATGGAAAAAATAATTTGCTTTAGCATCAGTTTAGTACAACTTACAGGGTTGTACACACTGCTCCAGGGCAATGAAAGGCAGAGGACCCTATAGAATCATAACCCCAGGCTGCACAATAGACAGGATAGTGAGAGGTTTCCCCCCATTTCAAAGTCTTTCACCATTTTTTATGAGCTGGGAATGAGAGGTAGACAGAGGAAGGGCCCAAGGGCAGGGCCAAGGACTCAGCTCATCAAAGGCCTACACTTCATCCCCTTTCAGGTTTCCGGGGTTTTCCTGGGACTTGGGGCTCTTGCGGGGAGAGAGCCTGAACCCCTGGGAGCCCTCGCATCCATCACTCTTCTTTCTTTTTATTCGTTTTAAAATTGCGATAAAACAGACTTATAGTCAAGTGCACAAATATTAAGCCTAGAGCTGAGGAGGGGAGGGGCAAAAAAAAAAAAAGTCTACAGCCTGACGAATTTTTACACATGTATAC